ATCCTAAGCAGGCTCTACACTCAGCACAGAGCCAACATGAGGCTCCATCCCACAACCCTGGGATCGTGACCTGATGATATCAAGATGCTTAAGTGAAGTCAGATGCTTAACTGACTGAGTCACCCAGGTATCCCTGACCTAAGTATTCTTTTTTTTTTCAATATATGAAATTTATTGTCAAATTTGTTTCCATACAACACCCAGTGCTCATCCCAAAAGGTGCCCTCCTCAATACCCATCACCCACCTTCCCCTCCCTCCCATCCCCCATCAACCCTCAGTTTATTCTCAGTTTTTAAGAGTCTCTTATGCTTTGGCTCTCTCCCACTCTAACCTTTTTTTTTTTTTCCCTCCCCTCCCCCATGGGTTTCTGTTAAGTTTCTCAGGATCCACATAAGAGTGAAAACATATGGTATCTGTCTTTCTCTGTATGGCTTATTTCACTTAGCATCACACTCTCCAGTTCATCCATGTTGCTACAAAGGGCCATATTTCATTCTTTCTCATTGCCACGTAGTACTCCATTGTGTATATAAACCACAATTTCTTTATCCATTCATCACTTGATGGACATTTAGGCTCTTTCCATAATTTGGCTATTGTTGAGAGTGCTGCTATAAACATTGGGGTACAAGTGCCCCTGTGCATCAGTAATCCTGTATCCCTTGGGTAAATTCCTAGCAGTGCTATTGCTGGGTCATAGGGTAGGTCTATTTTTAATTTTCTGAGGAACCTCCACACTGCTTTCCAGAGTGGCTGCACCAATTTGCATTCCCACCAACAGTGCAAGAGGGTTCCCGTTCCTCCACATCCTCTCCAGCATCTATAGGCTCCTGATTTGTTCATTTTGGCCACTCTCTGGCGTGAGGTGATATCTGAGTGTGGGTTTGATTTGTATTTCCCTGATTAGGAGCAACATTGAGCATCTTTTCATGTGCCTGTTGGCCATCCGGATGTCTTCTTTAGAGAAGTGTCTATTCATGTTTTCTGCCCATTTCTTCACTGGGTGATTTGTTTTTCGGGTGTGGAGTTTGGTGAGCTCTTTATAGATTTTGGATACTAGCCCTTTTGGACTAAGTATTCTTTTTTTTTTTTTTTTTTAACGTTTATTTATTTTTGAGACAGAGAAAGACAGAGCATGAACGGGGGAGGGTCAGAGAGAGGGAGACACAGAATCTGAAACCGGCTCCAGGCTCTGAGCTGTCAGCACAGAGCCTGACGCGGGGCTCGAACTCACGGACCATGAGATCATGACCTGAGCCGAAGTCGGAACCTTAACCGACTGAGCCACCCAGGCACCCCTGGACTAAGTATTCTTAAACAATCATTTGCAGAGATGAAAAACACTTTAATGTTTTGTTTTGTTTTTTGAGAGACAGAGCACGAGTTGGGGAGGGCCAGAGAGAGAGAGAGAGGGAGACAGAATCTGAAGCAGGCTCCAGACTCCGAGCTGTCAGCACAGAACCTGATGTGGGGCTCGAACTCACGAACCGTGAGATCATGACCTGAACTGAAGTCAGATGTATAAAACCGAGTGGACCACCCAGGAGCCCCTGAAAAATACTTTAAATCAGGCATTTGGGAACATCAAATAAAAATGGGCCAAAAAATTAGAAGCAGATATAAGAGTTAACAAAAATCAGGAAAGGAATTGAAGGGGAAAAAAAGTCAAAATCTTCTCAGAAGTGAAAAGTAAATTTCAAGAGAAATTAAAGTCAACTGAAAATATAATAAGAGGGACTCATATCATACCAGGAATGAAAAGAACCAAGAAAACAAAAGTAAAATCAGCAACAAAGTAAAAAGTAAAAAAAAAAAAGTGCCAGAGAGAAAAAGATGGTTAAAGAAGATAGGCAAAGGGAGTACAACATACACATCACCGGAGTGCCCGAAGAAGAAAAACAAAACAATCAAAAAGAACTAACATCAAACAAAATAGAAATCCCTGGCCCCCAAAAGAAGGAACTTTCTAGAAATAATGCAACATAATCTACATATCGAAGGGGCATATCAAGTACTTAGAAAAGATGTGGAATGGCCATCTCTGGGGTAAATCTTAATAAAACCTAGCAAAAGAGGAACAGTACTTTTCCCCGGGGAGAAAATGGTGGGCCCCACCTTACCTGGCGAGGTAGCTCAGCATTCCCAGGGAAGAAGGTACAAACTGACATTATGAGGCCCAGGTGTGCTGCAGGAAGGGCACAATACCATCTAGGTAGTATTCTCTCCAGGATTACTTGAACCCGAATCTGCTCATGAGGAGGCCACCAGATAAATGTGGACTGTAGCATATTCTACAAGACAGCTCAAAAATGGCACTGTCATGAAAGACAAAATGCTTGGGGGGCGTCCTAGGATACCAGAGTCCTGACAACTAGATGCACCATATGACCTTGACTGGTTCCTGGATTTTTTATTTATTTATTTATTTATTTATTTATAATTTTTTTTGAACATTTATTTATTTTTGAGACAGAGAGAGACAGAGCATGAACGGGGGAGGGTCACAGAGAGAGGGAGACACAGAATCTGAAACAGGCTCCAGGCTCTGAGCTGTCAGCACAGAGCCCGACGCGGGGCTCGAACCCACGGACCGTGAGATCATGACCTGAGCCGAAGTCGGACGCTTAACCGACCGAGCCACCCAGGCGCCCCGGTTCCTGGATTTTTAAAAAAGAGTTAAGGGGACACTTGGCTGGCTCAGTCAGAAGAGCATGCAACTCTTGATCTTGGGGTCCTGAGTTCAAGCCCCACGTTGGGTGTAGAGATTACTAAAACTAAATAAATAAACTCTAAAAAAAAAAAAGAGTTACAAAGGGCATTATTGGGACAACCTCAAATAGAGACTGTGTTTTAGGTAATACTAGTGTATTGGCATTAAATTTATGAAGTTTCTGTGGTAGTTTTAAAACATAGCCCCCAAGGGGCGCCTGGGTGGCTTAGTCAGTTAAGGGTCTGACTTTGGCTCAGGTCATGATCTCATGGCTCGTGAGTTCGAGCCCCACGTTGGGCTTAGAGCCTGGAGCCCGCTTCAGATTCTGTGTCTCCCTCTCCCTCTGCCCCTCCCCCACTCAGTCTCTGTCTCTCTCTGTCTCTCAAAAATAAACTTAAAAAAAATTTTTTTTAATTTTTTTTTTAACGTTTTATTTATTTTTGAGACAGAGAGAGACAGAGCATGAACAGGGGAGGGTCAGCGAGAGGGAGACACAGAATCTGAAACGGGCTCCAGGCCCTGAGCTGTCAGCACAGAGCCCGACGCAGGGCTCGAACTTAAGGACTGCGAGATCATGACCTGAGCCGAAGTCGGCCGCCCAACCGACTGAGCCACCCAGGTGCCCCCCCCCCAAAATTTTTTTTTTTAAAGAACATGGCTGCTATACGTGTTATGGAAGGAGTTCCTAGAGCAGGGAGACTGTGTGTGTGTGGTTTTTGGTTTTTGTTTGTTTTTTAAGTAGGCACCACACCCAGCGTGGAGCCCAACGTGGGGCTTGAGCTCACAACCCTGAGATCAAGACTTGAGCTGAGATCAAGCGTTGGATGCTTAATCGACTGAGCCACCCAGGCGCCCTGAGATTCTGAGCAGTCATTGTCCACCATGTGGCAGCATACCCTGGGAACCCAGAGGAAAAGCACCAGGCTTGGGCCCAGGGTGAAGTCAGGGAAGGTGAGTTTACAGGGTGAGTGGGAGCCGTCCAGGCAGACGAAGGAGGCTTCCAGACCTCGGAGAAGTCTGTCGTGGTGAGCACTCTGGGGCCGTCTCCCCTGCCCTCCCCCCAACACACACACATAGCAGTGGGCTTGCACCCAGCCCGACGTTTTCTCGCAGGAACTTGGACAACAGAGAAAGAGAGACTGACCCTCATGGTGTGTCTAGACCTACAGTTCGTGAACTGGGATGTTTCCCGAGTGTCATAGGGAAGAAGGAGGAAGAAATGAGCTCCCTTCCTGAGGCCTGGCCGTGTCTGTCCCTCCCTTCCCTTAACTAGACTTCTCTGTGCACCACCAGAAGGGGGTTTCTGTTCCTTCCCATTCGCAAAGCCAAGAGGGCCAAAGGCAAAGGGAGCAGCAGGGAGGAGTACTCGGCAGGGCAGGGCCGAAGATCAGAGGGGGCAGTGGGTGGTGGGTGGTGGGCAGAGGGGAGGCTCTCCGTGAGAGGCAGCATGAAGAACGCAGGCCTTGGAGCATGGGCCCTGGATCCGAGACAACCACAAAGCTTGGCCTCGGCCAAGTCACTTAACTGTTCTGAAAAACAGCTATCAGGCGGCAGTGAACGTCTCTTTCTCACTGGGAAGCCGTGGATGGAGTAGGAGGCTGAGGCCAACCACTGTAATCTCGAAGGTGGCGGGGGGCATCTAGCTGGTGGGGGAGGAAACAGGCTGGAGAGGGAAAGCCACCGTCTGAGACCGGGCGCCTTGGCATTCCGGGCCCAGGCGGAGCCTGCTCCCTCACCTCGCGCACCGCCTTCCTCCACCCACGTCGGCAGTGAGCGCTGGCGCAGCCCGGAGACCCTCACAGTGCGAATGTCAGGTTTGGGGGCTGGGTGTCCCTGCCATTGCAAATGTGCACGGGTGGCTACTGATACCTGTCCCTACAGAGGCAGAAGCTGCCCCTCTCGTCCCCATGAGGGATCTCAGGACAGTGGATGGGACAGCTCCTACCTCAGCTGGCCCCCACGCTGGGCCCTTGGAAGACTTGGATCCGTTTCTCTAGCGGTCGGGGCAGCCCCCTCTGCCACCTTCCACTATTGACCAACAGAGGGCGCTCCCACACCCCTTTTGGTCATTTCAAGCCTGTCGTTTCTCCTTTCTGCCTATTCCTTCCCTATCAAGGTGCTAGGAAGGCGGCAGGTGTGAAGGGAGGAGGTAGAATTAAAACCTGCCATTTATTGAGCACCTACAGCGTCCCAGGCACTGTGCACTACTTCGTCATCCCTCACAACTCATTTCTCCGAGGAGACCGGGGCTCAGGAAGGTTGTCTTCAGGAACATTTTCCAACCGATGTACACACCTCTGAAAAAAGGTCCGCCTTTATTCACTCTGCAGACGGGGGGCTTAAGTTACAAGGCCTTACAAAAGCAGCATGGGAAACCACCCTGCTGCCTCCTGAACTTGTGCCCTCAGCCAGGTCTGGGCTCAGAACCGCCTTGTGTCTCCACCCTGGCCCGGACCTCCCAACTCCTCACTGAGTCCAGGGGATTTGCTCCTCTGGGTTCCAAGGACCTTTGCTGTCGGCTCCCTCTGGCCCGGGGCCTGACGCTGGAGAGGGACAACAGGAGGGCAGGAGGGAGGGCGGCCCCCCGGGATAGCACTTCCTGGATGGCGTTGCCAACCTAGGAGAGCTCCCTGATGACAACAGCAGTTGCCACTTGGTATCCAGCAAGGACAAGGGCTGAGCCTCACTCCAGGAGCTACTCATCCCTTGGATTCTGTGTCGCCCCTCACCGAGGGCCCCTGCACAGCTGGGCTCGCCGGACACAGAATGGGTGCCCTCGGGGAAGCTGCTCTGGTCACTGGCTCCCGAGGTGCTCAGCTCAGTGAAGGGGGTGTAGCCATTTTCCCCTAAATCCGACCTTCAGCCTCCTCTTCCCATCCCTTCCGACCATCTTGGCAAGTCCTGTGGCTTTCTGGTGACTTTCAGATACAAAAAGACCCAGTTCCCAGCTCCATCTAGTGACAAGGTAAACACCTCACAGCTAATCAAACGCTCACGGCGGGGGAAGGCCGTGTGGGAAGAGAGGGAGAGGAGAGACGAGAGGCTCTGTGTTTCGCTGCCCCCCTGGCGTAATCACCTCCTTGGGGTGTCGGCGTCTCCTTTCTGTGTGGCTGGTGTCCAGAGTTGGGCCTCCCTAGGGTGCTGGTTTCAGTGACTGCACAGTCCCTGCTAGTAACTGGTAACTGGCACAGTGGCAGAGTGGCTGGGGAGAAGCAGAAGAGGTCCAGCCGCTTTCCAACAGCCCCTGGAGGGGAGTCTGCAGCCCAGTAGGGTCTTCTTTCTCTAGAATGTGAAGCCAAATGCTTCCTGCTTCCTTCGTCCCAACTCTGATTCCTAAGTGCAACAGGAAAAGTGCCTTTCAGCATCCTTGTTCCCATCCCGAGGTTGTCAGCCCCCGCCATCGCGTCCTTCCTCCTCCCCCGTCAATGTAATTCATTCCATGTTGGCTCTGGACTCTGTCTAATCCTTACAACCCTGCAGAAGACCAAGCATGAAGCCCACGTTGCAGAAGAGGAAACTGAGGCTTGCTCGAGACCACACGGCTTGTTGGTGTCAGAACCAGTCAAAGAAGGATATGGGATGCCTGACTGAGAATCTGAGGTCTGGATTAGCTCACTTCATCAAAACATTTCTCGGGTGGCCGGGTGGGGAAAAAAAAAAAATTCTTGCCAGTTTAGTGCTGGGTGCCGAGGACACCAGCCGACTGAGACAGCCCCTCAAATGTTACACTCCAGGCAGAGTGCAGGCCTCACAGGCAGAGGCCGCAGGGGGTGGCACCAGGGGCGGGGAGCCCCAGAGCCACTGCCCCATCATCAGGGCCACCACAGACACTTGGCATCACCAAGGCCAGGCTGCTTTTCTTGGGGAAGGTATGTGTCCCACTCACCATTAACAGAATGGACACGCGAGTCCTTGCCCACTGGACGGGTCCTTGCTTTAGCTGAATCTAACCTGTGGAGATTTCATCTCACAAAAACCAATTAGGGTGAGGTTATTTGCTTCACCAAAAAAGTGAATGCAAGGGTTTTTCTTTTTTAATTTTTTTAATGTGTATTTCTTTTTGAGAGAGAGAGAAAGAGACAGAGTGTGAGTGGGGGAGGGGCAGAGAGAGAGGGGGACACAGAATCCAAAGCAGGCTCCAGGCTCTGAGCTGCCAGCACAGACCCCGATGTGGGGCTCAAACCCATGAACCGTGAGATCATGACCTGAGCCAAAGTCTGGTTCTCAACTGACTGAGCCACCCAGGCACCCCCAAGGATTTTTTTAATAATGCCTTTGTTTAGGGGGCACCTGGGTGGCTCAGTTGACTAAGCATCCAACTCTTGGTCTCAGCTTAGGTCTTGATCTCACTGTCGTGAGTTCAAGCCCCACACTGGGCTACATGCTGGGCATGAAGCCTACTTAAAATAATAACAATAATAATAATAATAATAAAGCTGTTTTATTTTTTAAAATATCTAGATGGCAAAGTGTTTTTTTAATTTTTTTAATTTTATTTTTAACTTTGTAATTTATTTTTTTATTTTTTAAAATTTACATCCAAATTAGTTAGTATATAGTGAAGGAATGATTTCAGTAGATTCCTCAATGCCCCTTACCCATTTAGCTCATCCCCCCTCCCACCACCCGTCCAGCAACCCTCAGTTTGTTCTCCAGATTTATGAATCTCTTTTGTTTTGTCCCCCTCCCTGTTTTTATATTTTTGTTTCCCTTCCTTTATGTTCATCTGTTTTGTCTCTTAAAGTCCTCCTATGAGTGAAGTCATATGATTTTTGTCTTTCTCTGACTGACTGATTTCACTTAGCATCATATCCTCCAGTTCCATCCACGTAGTTGCAAATGGCAAGATTGCATTCTTTTTGATTGCTGAGTAATACTTCATTGTATATATATACCACATCTTCTTTATCCATTCATCCATCGATGGACATTTGGGCTCTTTCCATACTTTGGCTACTGTTGGTAGTGCTGCTGTAAACATGGGGGTGCATGTGTCCCTTCGAAGCAGCACACCTGTATCCCTTGGATAAATGCCTGGTAGTGCAATTGCTGGGTCATAGGGTAGTTCCATTTTCAGTTTTTGAGGACCCTCCATACCATTTTCCAGAGTGGCTGCACCAGCTTGCATGCCCACCAACAATGCAAAAGAGATCCTCTCTCTCCGCATCCTCGCCAACATCTGTTGTTGCCTGAGTTGTTAATGTTGGCCATTCTGACAGGTGTAAGGTGGTATCTCATTGTGGTTTTGATTTGCATTTCCCTGATGATGAGTGATGTTGAGCATTTTTTCATGTGTCGGTTGGCCATCTGGATGTTTTCTTTGGAGAAGAGTCTATTCATGTCTTTTGCCCATTTCTTCACTGGATTATTTGTTTTTTGGGTGTTGAGTTTGGTAGGTTGTTTATACATTTTGGATACTAACCCTTTATCTGATATGTCATTTGCAAATATCTTCTCCCATTCTGTCGGTTGCCTTTTAGTTTTGCTGATTGTTTCCTTCGCTGTGCAGAAGCTTTTTATTTTGATGAGGTCCCAGTAGTTCATTTTTGCTTTTGTTTCCCTTGCCTCCGGAGACAATGTTGAGTAAGAAATTGCTGCAGGCAAGATCAAAGAGGTTTTTGCCTGCTTTCTCCTCGAGGATTTGGATGGCTTCCTGTCTTACATTGAGGTCTTTCATCTGCTTTGAGTTTATTTTTTATGTATGGTGTAAGAAAGTGGTCCAGGTTCATTCTTCATGTCGCTTCATGTCCAATTTTCCCAGCACCACTTGCTGAAAAGATTGTCTTTATTCCATTGGATATTCTTTCCTGCTTTGTCAAAGATTAGTTGCCCATACGTTTATGGGCCCACTTCTGGATTCTCTATTCAATTCCATTGATCTGAAGGTCTGTTCTTGTGCCATTTTAAAAATTTTTTTTAATGGTTATTTATTTCTGAGACAGAGAGAGATAGAGCATGAGGGGGGGGAGGGGAAGAGAGAGAGAGGGAGACACAGAATCCGAAGTGGGCTCCAGGGATGCGGGGCTCGAACTCACCAACTGTGAGATCATGACCTGAGCCAAAGTCGGACGCTTAACCGACTGAGCCACCCAGGCGCCCCCAGATGGTAAGGCATTTTTAAAACACAAGAAGGCAGAAAACAAAGTAATAATCATCTATCACCTCACCACGTAAGAGGCTAGAATGTAAAAGGCAGAAAACCTGAGCAGCACGGGAAGATGTGTTGGCTTACGCGGTCAGACCACAGATAGCACAGAGTAACATGATTCCCACTGTCTCTTGCATCTTCTTTTGTCCCTCAGCACCTTGGCTTCGTTCTCTGCAGGCTTTATCCCCACGCGTGGGAAATAAGACTGCAGCCTTACTGAGCTCACACCCTCATGATGCCCCCAAGAGGAAGAAGCTTCGCCTCCACTCAAATTCAGAAATCCCCGGGGAAGGACTCTAACTGGCGATCTTGGGTCATGTGACCCACCCTGTAGTCTGAGGGACCGAGTTCCGTAATTACAGGGCATGTGACTGGGCTGGGAGAGAAACCACTAGTTCTCCAAAAGAGGGGGCTGCTCTTCTTGTGGACAAAAAGGTAGATGACCACTTTATACCAGGGGAAAAGCACTCCTAGTATGTGGCCTTTAGTGCAGGCAACAGAACCCATACAGGGTGGTTTACATAAAAAGGAAATTGCTAGAGACTATAAGGAATCTTCTGCTTCTGGCATTATAGCATCATGGCTGAGGAGAACAGCTGAACTCTGAAAAACATATTTATTTGAAATGTAACTGATCTGGACAAGAGATAGGGGATGTCTCTAAGCACACCCCCTCTGGGACAAGGGACCGGGGGCTGGCCAGGGCTGGGGCAGCAGGCAGCCAATAAATTTCCTCCTGTTACTGGGAAACTGAGGCTTGGTCCAAGCCCAAAACAGGGAAGGGGAGTGTTGGAGTCCCTCATTCAAAGCGAGAGGAAGTAACCCCAGATCATGGCGCTTCCTGGTACCAGCAGAAGAGGAAAAGCAAATGCCGTCTGCAGGGCTGCATCCCCAATCCTCGACCGAGACCTACAGGATTCCTACCAATTTGAAACCAGCAATGAGCTCACAAAGATCGCAGGCACACGAGGAGGCAAGTTACTGTGTCTGTGAGTCAGCAAAAAACAATGAACTCCAGGTTTAGATCCCTAAAGACTGAAGATCAAAGGATTTTCAGATAAAAATATATAAAACATACATTTATGAAATAAAACATGCAGTCACAAAGAAGCCACTCGACAGAAAAAAACTAGGAAAGAACAGATGGGTTTTAAGATGGAACTTCAAGAAATGAACAATAGGGGTGCCTAAATGGTTCAGTAGTTAGGTATCTGACTTCAGCTCAGGTCACGATCTCACGGTTCGGGCGTTCAAGCCCCGTGTTGGGCTCTCTGCTGTCAGTGCAGAGCCCGCTTCAGGTCCTCTGTCTCCCTCTCTCTCTGCTCCTCCCCCACTCTTTCTCCCTCTCTCTCTCAAAAATAAATTTAAAAAAAAAAATGAAATGAACAATATAAGGGTTGGAATCAAAAACCTTACTGAAAAGATATTAGAGACAGTTGAAGAGAGAATTAGTGAGCTGAAGCTATAACCAAAGAAATCACCTGGTAAACAGCACACACAGAGAGGCAAGAAAATGAAGAGTTTAAAAGAGATTTTAAGAGACATGGAGGACAGAGTAAGAAAATATAACATATATTTATCAGAATCTCAGAAAGAAGGAAAAGAGAAAAGGAGGAAATGAAATATTTAAAAAGATAATGACTGTGCAGTCTCCAGAAGTGATGAACAACATAAATCCACTAAGAAAGTACACATTCCAGAGTGCCTGGGTGGCTCAGTTGGTTAGGCACCTGACTTGTGGTTTCGGCTCAGGTCATGATCTCACGGTTCACGAGTTCAAGCCCCACATCAGGCTCTGTGCTGACATCTCAGAGCCTGGAGCCTCCTTTGAATTCTGTGTCTCCCTCTCTCTCTGCCCCTCTCCTGTTTGCACTGTCTCTCTCTCTCAAAAATAAATAAACATTTAAACAATTATATGGTAAAATACAATATGACAATAAAAATGAGTGGGTTGTACCTACATGCAACAACCTAGAACTGTATACTCATATACAGTTCTCATATGCTGAGAGAAAAACACACAAGAACATGTGCAGTATGGTTCCACCTGCATAAAGTCCAAAGTAGGCAAAAACTAACCTCTGTTATATCAGATTATATATCAGTGGAACTATAAGGAAAAGCAAGGGTATGAGTAACATAAAAGGATAGTTACTGAGGCATGACTTAAAAAGGAACATATTGGGGGTCTAGTGTTAATTTTATAATTATTCTATTGTTGTCTTGTGCACCTTTCTATACATGGGTCATATGTTATAATTGTTCAAAAGTTCCAAACAAAATCAAACCAGAGTGCATACCATCAGACCTACACTAAGGGATGTACTTCAGGAGGAAGGGAAATGATCCCAGAAGAGGAGGCTGAAATGCATGAGGAAACAGTGAGCAAATCCAATGAGGAACATGTGGGGGGAAATCAAACAAACCCTACCCTATAAAATAACAATAAGGTAGAGTTTGAGGGGGCCAATCAAAAAGGACAGACCTGAAGTACAGAACAAAATTAGGTCAGGCAGGAGAGGATAACCAGCGTCAAAGGGTTGCATTATTCAAGAAGGACATTAATATATTGCTCAACAACACATTCTGTTAATCTACAGATGGATTTTTTAAAATCCTGCTATATATTGCTCACAAAAGACACCTATAAGGCATAAGACAAAGAAAGTTTGAAAGTAAAAGGATGAAAAAAATATAGCAAGCAAATATTAACATCCCCCCACAAAAAACTTAGCGTAATTTTATTAATATCAGACAAGATCACTTTTAAGATAAAATACATTATCGGAGATCCAGAAAATCA